CCCGTGTACCCACTGATAGACATTTGGGCTGTTTCCATCTCTCGGCTATTGTGAAAAATGTTGCTATGAACCCAGGTTACAAATAGTTGTTGGAGTCCCTGCTTCTAATTCTTTTGGAATTTTAAGTAAAAAGTAAAATTACCAGATTACTTGATTATTCTATGTTCGGTTTTTAAGGGAATGCTATATTATTGTCCACAACATTTGTATCATTTTACACTGTCATTAGCAATGCACAAGGGGTTCGGTTTCTCCACATCCTTGCTAACACTGATTATTTTCTGTTTGTTATTGTTAATCATAGCCATTTTAATGACTATAAAGCTGTTTACTCATTTTTAAAGTTATTTTTTCTTGCAATACTTCTATAAGATACAGTAAGTCATCTGTGGAACAAGGAACACACCGATCAATCCCCCACTCTGATCAGGCAAACTAATATGTGAATTAGTCCTTGCTATTATTACCTCCTCCCTGCAGGCTTTCTGCCTGCACCCTTTTTCAAAGGAAAAAGTGCACACATGTACACCCACAGAGCATCTACACACATACATATACACAGAGAATATGAATAATTTGTATTTATAACACATATAAACATATAATGTGTATATATATATATACACTGGCAAAACAGGGACAATAACATCTATCTTACAATATTGTGATAAGTTTTGAAGACAAATTACATACGATAACTTTGAGTGCCAACATATGGACAAGACTTAGGCAATAGTTAGTGTCAGTGCATGCCTGATTCGGTCCTGGGTGTTTCCATATATATCAGCTATGGATCCTTTATATTCATAAAGATAGGTCAAATTAAGAGGAGTAAGTAATTTGTTCAGGGCTGAGAAGCAATTTAAAGCCAGGTCTATCTGACTCTGCCATGCAAGCTCTGTACCCTAAACTGCTGCTGAACACCCCACCTCTCCAAGCTTGGAGGGAGAAGATGGAGGACTATCTATACATATAAATATAAATATAAATATTTGGAAAGAGTTGGAAAGTGCCCATACAAGGAACATGGAAAGCTCTGTCTGCTACTTCAGCAAGTTGGAAGAGCAAGTTAAGCTCTTTCTGCAGGTAAACAGGATAAAGGAACTCGACAGAACATCTCTCAGCCTGGAATTCTGGTGGTGAAAAGGAACCTCTTACACACCCATGCCTTTCCCCAAATACTTTCAAGAGAGCTTTGGGATATTTTTGACTCCTGGGCTGATGACACCATTCCTGTGTTAACTGCCAAAGCTATCACTCACACTACAGATGTACGTCTTATCTGCCCTGATAGGATCGCTGCTCCACTCCCTGGGGGAAATAAAATAATTGTCCAACAATGCCTCTCCACAGAAGGGCCTCTCGGCCCAGGAAGTGTCAGTCACTGGGCTTCACACTACAGCTTCACTCAGGCTTAGACAGCTGGCATTCCTCACTGATAATTACTAGTGACTGGACAACCCTGCATGTAAAGGCAAGCCCTTGGTAGGGAGATGAGTGCTGCAGGGAGAGGAAATACTCCTTCCTATTCAATTTCACACCTTAGAAGATAAAGGGGGGAAATGCCAGTATTATTTTAAAGGTATCCATGCTTCTTGTTTCCTTAGAAGTCCATGTTTATTTCAGGTGTCATCAGACAAACACTGAGTTTCTTTGGCACCAAGTTCACAGATGTATTGAGCACATGCTTTAGTTTATTACCTGGAAATCAACAAAAGTTACCTCCCACAGGCTTGACGAATCATCCATGTTGCTGGGCGACAAGAGAGCATCGTACAACTGCAGGCTGCTGACACGGTGACAGTGGTAGGAAAAACTGGATGGAGCATGTATGCCAGTTGCATTAAAAGTTGCTTGGATTGAATTGTTGAAAAAAATTTCTATGCGGTGCAGACTAAACCAACTCTGCATGGACAACTTGTTGTAATTGGCAAGGATGAATCTGGAAATGATTATAAAACAGTATTACCCCCAAAGCACTTTGACCATAATTACTGACGCAGGATATTGTCTCTGAACAGTGCAATGGCGCCCTCTTTTGTCAGAAGGTAGAACTGGCTTGGGGAACGATTTAGTATTCTTCAGATAGATGGAAAAGAGAACAAATGACAGGAAACGCTCCAAAAGTGAGCAATACAAATTCCTAAAACAGGAAAAAAAAAATATTCACACATATGCAAGAGGCTTTTATTTTTCTTTCTTTCTTTTCTTCGGAATCTACACTTCATTATGTGTTTATTGTTGCCCGAGAAAATGAGAAGGGCTTAAATGGACATCAGTACAAGGGGACTTCTAAAAATTCATCAGAAGATGGAATTAAAGAACAAATCTATTATAGTGTAAAAATTTAAAATTCATAAACGATTTTTAATAATATATATTTTCCATACACTCAGTGATGGCCTCTCATATAGAATTAGCTAAATTGCGGTTAAAAATAGTAACAGCTCTTGGGACCAGCAGGTGGCATGGTGGTTAAGGGTGCTGGACTCACGACTGTCAGTGCTTCAAGTCCTGAACCTGGCGGCTCTCTCTCTCTCTCTCTCTCTCTCTCTCTCTTGCTCTCACTCTGTTCTTCTCTGGTCAAATTAAAATAAATAAGTAAATAAAGTTAAATAATTCTTTAAAATAATAATAACAGCTCTCTTACTATGTCAGTCACCTTTCTATGTTATTTATGTGTATTTTATTTAATCTTCAGTACAACACTATGAGATAGGTAGCATCATTACCTTTTCACAGATGAGGAATATAAGACAGAGGTGTTAAATAACTCATGCAAACATACTCAGGGAGTAAATACTGGCCTCAAATTCAATCTGCAAGCAGAGCCCTTGCTCTTAACCATATTTAAATGAAATATTCTCCAGCCATGAAAAAACTATAAATGTCATGATCATTTTTTAAAACAATGTAACACTGTATAGACAAAATTCTGGAAGGTTAGAGATCAAAATATTAATAGTGATTACAAATGGTGTTTGGGTTATTGGTAATTTTCATCTTCTTCTTCCAGCTCAATATTGGTTTTTCCATTATCTATTCCGATTTTTCTGTTTTCACCAGTTTTTCTTGTCTAGGTTTGGGTTCCTTTGGATGAAAACTCTGAGATCAGGATATGATACAAGAAGTACTTGGGGGAATTTAGTCATTTGAAATACGTAGAGTGATGAGAAGAGAAATGACAGGAGAGAAGTCCGCCAGAAAGAGCATATTATTAAGCAAATTTCCGCTATAGACAAGTGGAGACTTAAGGCCCATGGGAGAACCTGAGAGCCAGAGTAGAACTCATATCCTGTGTTACCTCATCTGAGGGAGAGAGAGCTGAGGTATTTGCACACTTCCTTCAGTCATTAACTGAGAACTGCCGAACTAGGAATGGGAGGCTATGAGTTCCTTCGGCCAGGGAAAGCTTTGGGGTAAGGAGGGACTGAGAACTGAAAGTTGAGCAGGTAGGCTATTGTCAGATGGAAACACCAAAGTAATTATAGACAGGGTACTGACAGTATCTGCAATATACTTTTACTATCAGAAATACTACTACTAATAATAAAAACTATTTTCCATTTGAGAAAAACAGTGCTATTACATATTTAAAATATTTTCCATTTTTATATCAAATAGATATATATATATGTGTTTAGTCATCTTGTGGGGTTCTATTTCCATATATATTTGCTCTGACACATGATGGCATGATTTCCTAAATTACAATCAGTGAAACACTACTACCCAGTGAAATGTGGCAAGTGTTCTTAGGAAAAAAACTTTCCTAAGTTAAACATAGGAAATATGAGGTTAATCAAAGATAAACAGTGCAATAACCTGCCTTAGGGCACACATTCTCCAAACATTTAATGTATGAATTTACACTATGACTCTCCAAGAGGAAGACATGGTGTGTAGTCATTTCCAAACACATTTGAACACAGAACCCCATTTCCGTGGAACTGTAGAATATGTTTGCAGAGCAGAAGTGTTCCATAGCATTTTCCAAGTGATATTAAAAACATAACTGCTTATCTCGACTAGAACTTTCACCCTATAAGAAGGAAAATACTATACTTTTGTAAGGAAAAAAAAAACAATGTTTTCAAATTGCCCACCATCCCCACCCACCCCCCTAGAAGCATCTTCCAACTGCTTGGATAAACCACAGTTGGTAGATGTATCCTTCCATAGATAAACAGAAAAACGGAGGCCTATATTCTCTGCTGGGGAATTCAGTTAACAGAGACCCTTTCACTACAGTTAAATGGTAAATGTGATTCATTATAAGGAGCTATAGGAAAACAAACAAACTAACAAACAAACAAACAAATAAACAAAACCTTTAAACCAAAGTCTCAGCCCTTGAGCTTTATTTATATTTATTATTTCCTCAGAGGAAAAAAAGGGTCATTTTTAGCTGCATGTGTTGTCTAAATTTCTAATCAGGCTGGGGATACAGAAGGACACATTAGATATTTTGGTAAAAAGTAGAGAAAGCATTACTACAGGACTCTATCACAGACCACCGCTGACTTTTTGGGGTTAGTAGATCTGGTATTTGACATGTCACAGTACTGGGCACATAACAAGATCACATAATGGAATCACGTGGAATGAACTGTATAGAGCTAATCTGAAGTGCTGAAACTATGGTACTCCAAAGTGACAGCCTACCTACCTTATATCAAGACCTTTGAGATTTCCAGCATCACCAAACTTCAGAGACAACCTAAGAAAACAGACACATTGTAGTATATCAAAATAGGAATGGCCCTTTACCTCCCACTATGTCCCAAAATACCTCAAAATGGATCATGGACCTACATGTAACTCCTAAAACTACAAAATGTATAGGGCCATCCCCGTAAGTAAACAGTTAAGCCCTGTGCATAGGAAGCCAGATCCCACATAGCCAACAATGGTGACCATGCCCCATTGCAGAAGGGAGGGGGGTGTCACTCTCTTGCAATTGAGCCAGCACATACACTCTCCGACAATAAAAAGTAATAATAATATTTTTTAAACTATGAAATGAATAGAAAAATGTTTTTACAATCTTGGGATAAGCAATGGTTTCTTTAAAAAATACAAAAGCATGAATCATAAAAGAAAAAAATGGATAAATCAGACTTTTTTTAAAATCAAAACTGGCTTTCCTAAACACTGTTGAGAAAACAGAACAAAAAATATATACGTATTCACACACACAATACATACACACAATATGTATATATTACACAATATATATACACAAAGCATTTATCCCAAATATAGTAACTAACACTGACAACTCAATAAAAAGACAACCTAACTTAAAGAACAAACATTTTGTAAGGGAGATATACAAATGGCCAAACATACATGAAAATATGTTCACCACATTAGTCATTAAGAAAATATAAGATAAAACCACAATAAGATACCACAGTACACCAGTCAGATTACTTAAAACTTTAAAAACAAAACTGACATTTAAGCTTTTGAATATATTTATTCATATTTTTCCTGAGAATAAGCAGAAGATATCCTGGAGCAAAAACAGATTACTATTTACTTATAGGAATAACCACATTGGTCCCCCCCCTTTTAACCCAGTTCTTCTCCATAGGTAATATAATGAAAGTCAGATGTCATCCTATACATGTAGAAATTTGTAATACAGATGAGGAATACCAAAACTATGAATCCAGAAATTTATTTATCAGAGAGACAGGGGTTCCCTCCTCACTTTCTGAGAGGGAGAAACATTTGCTCTCTTAGTGTCAATATATTCTTCTTGGGAAAAGAAGAGTGAAGATGTGGGTACCTACCCCAAAATACACACAACCAAGAGTTTAATTAGCCTTTTAATGGTAGCAAATAGTTCACCATAAAGAGACAAGCGGCTGCCAGTCTAATATCGTGGTATATAACAAATGTCTCCAAGGGAAAGATAAGACAAGCCTCTCTACGTTTCCATTCCTTGATGTGTCCCAATGTCCCTGAGTTTCATTACTCCTTGACATGTTTACCTATTCTTCTGAAGAGTTAATTCTCCTACTAACTTCAAGGCTTATTGTTAACTCAGGTCACAATGAAATTTGTTCAGAAATTAGTAGCCTTGCAGAAACATAAAAGTATTTCTCTACAGTCTATTATTAATGGTAAGAATGTGAAACAAATAAAACTCTTACACTATGTTGATGGAAAGGGAAAATGGTGCAGCCAATTTAAAAAGCAGTTTAGCAGTTTTTTAAAAGTTCAATATGGGGACCAGCAGGTGTTGTGGTGGTTAAGGGTGCTGGACTCCTACATGGCTGGCCACGGTTCAAGTCCTAGACCTGGCAGCTTGCTTTCTCACTTTTCTCTTTCTTTCTTCCTCCCTCCCTCCCTCGCTTTCTGGTCAAATTTAAAAATAAATAAGTAAAGTTAAATAATAAAAAAAAAAGTTCAACATGTGCACCCTATATGACCCAGCCATTCTACTCCTAAGTGGAATGATACCTAAGAGAAATTAAAATAGCTGCTGCTACAAAGGCTTGTACATGAATGTTCATAGAAACTTTATTTAGAAAGTTATATAATAGCAGGGGAGGGGGGGACAAAAACAAATTTCCATCAACAAATGAATGAATGAATAAATAAGGTGTGGTATATCCATACAGTGGAGAACTACTTGGCAGTGAAAAGGAATACACCACTGATACAGGCAACAACATAAAAGATTATAAAAACCTTTATTCAGGTCTAGCCCTGTGGCCCAGTGGTTAAGGGTACCAGATTCCACAAGGCTGAACATGTGGTAATAATCCTGATCCTGAAAGCCTAAAAAATATGCTTAGTGCATGTGCATACATGCCCAAAGTTCCAGCAAAATAAATAAATGAAGGAAAAGAGAGTCTGCCACAAGACTATGCCTCCACTGGGCATTGTCTTCTCCCTCTCCTTATCTCTCCATCTCTCTATCTCTCTCTGGGGAGTGTACACACCCTCTTGCAAATTTTTAAAAATCATTTTGTTTAGTGGAAGAAGCTAGACTAAAACCTAGTACACACTGTATCATAATATTTCTACAAAATTCTAGAAAATAAAAACTAATCTATAATGAAAGACATCAAATCCATGGTTATCTGGAGGGTTGGGAGGCCAGATTGCTATAAGGAGCTAAAGGAAACTTTTAGATGTGATCAAAATGTTTGTTGTCTTGATGGTGGTGATGTTTTATGGGTTTAGTTTATTATACTTTATTTATATTTCAGTAAGGCTAAAAAATCAGAATGATAAGAATCTTAATAAATAATTAAAACAGGAAAATGTGAGAAATTTAAATACACAAATGCTGTGGCTGCTCTGGACCATTATAATATCTAGAAAGTGTAACATTTCAATATACCTTATAAAAACAAACAAAAAAAGCTATAACATGTCCCATTATAAGCTTGAGAAATACCACACATTTATAATCTCATTAGTTTGCTCCAGTTTATCAAAAAGTAGAAATAATAATTGGTCTGAATTTATCTTAATACTATTTATGGGGGATGGGTGTGCTATTTATAAAATAACCCATATGAAAGAGACAGCTCCATGGCTCCTGCGATCTAGCCATTTTGGGGGAAACGGAGAAATGAAGAGGTCCCACCGATAATTCAGCCTCCAGCATACAAAACTCGTGTGATTGAACTTCCAAGTTTGGAAAGAAACCGACCATCCACCAGATGACCAGAAATCGCTGCAGGACCACAAGAAATATGGGGAAGCAGGAAAATACCTCTCCTCCAAGGGAAAAGGATAACTCCTCTTCATCCACACACAGTTCAATGGAAATCATGGAAATGTCTGATAAAGAATTCAGAACATTCATAATGGCAAAGCTTACAGAGATGGAAGAGAAGAGAGACAAGAAACTTCTAAAGAGGAAGGAGAAAGGAGTTGAAGAGTTCTAGGAGGTGAGGAAATTCATACAAGATCTAAAAGAGGAATTTCACTCTTTACAAAAGAATCAGATGGAACTGTTAGAGATGAAGGCTATAATACAAGAAGTCAAAATTTCCCTTGAAAGTATTAAAAGCAGACTAGATCATACAGAAAATAGAATCTCAGATGTAGAAGAGAAAATTACTGGCCTAGAAAAATCCACCACGAAGACTGAGAAAATGGCCCAAAAACTTGAGAATAATATACGAGAAATACCAGATACAATCAAACATCCGAACATCCAGATAATAGGCATCCCAGAAGGCGAAGAAACTCATAAGGGCATTGATAAT